ATATTTCAAATACATCATCATGAAAAGTATCTCGAGTACTGTACATATGCTCAGAACAAACCATTTCATTTTTTAAAATCTAATTAAGTTAATCTCTTATATCTGGTTATTCACAGACAATTATTTACGGAGTAGTTTCTGTTCTTCCTACTGTCTTCTTGAATGTTATGGTTAACTTAAAATCCGTTCCGTCCGCAGTTCAATCATACATAAATGACTTCATTTCAATGTTCTTTTTCATCTTTAGGCATTACAGATAATCGTTTAACTTATCATTCTCTTCTCATCTTTGACTATAAAGCACAATGAAAAATTTCTTCGTTTTGTGTAGCATAACACTTACTGAGTTAGTGAACTTCACTCTTTTTGATGCTTCACTCATCATAATATTGAAAAGGTAACTGTATTCAATGAACAACCATTATTATTAGTGTTTTGATCCTTTCACCCGCAAATTTCTCTTATACCGTTTGAATTACGGTCTATTGAATAAATTCTATTCTCCATCCCATTGACAAGGAAAAGGAAGTGCCATTTTTCAAAATTTCCGATGTTCTCTGACGTGCATTTTTGCCTGAAAACTCTTCAATTGAAAATTACGAAATTGGAATGACCTCTTATTGAGTGATTATCTTTACGGGCGTAACCTCACATACTATTTGTGCGACTTTAAAATTTCTGGAAAAATATAAATTTATAAAGCAAAAAAGTCAGAAACCAAAATATCTCTTTAATTTGTTCCTCGAGTTAAACAAACATTTCCCACGAATATAAATTACCAACTTCTTTTATCAAAAATCAATGTTTAAAATCTTTCTAAGTTGAACTCAATCTAGTTTACTTTAGATTGAACTTTTACATTGTCGAGAATTTGTAAGTTCAGCCGCACTGTATCTTTTAACTCTTTCGTCTCAATTGAACTGAAACGGATGACTGATTCGCGTATATTTTAAAGGCTTATTAATGCGCTGTGAAATTATCTTAAGACGAGAATCGGACAAGTTTGAGTATGAAAACTAAAATAATGAAGAGTTTTTCATCCTTAAAGTTAAGTAAATACATACATAAACATTACCTTCTTAGGGATTTTCAGGAATTTGTAAAATATAGCCCTCATTCTACAGACAATAGTCCTTTGGAAGTAAAAAATTAGCTCAATCGAGCACGAAAATTTCTAGAGGTAAATTTAGAATTGTAATTTTTGTTTGAAATGAATTTGAGTCTGGAATAGTTTAATTAATCATTCACGATACCTTCTTTGTTGAACTTTTTTGACTTGCATGGATGACAGGCTTGAATGATGTCACCACTATTCTCTGTCTTCCAGTACCTGCATTTCTGCGAGCAGTTTTGCCCTAAATTTAGAGAAAGTTTTTGAAAAGATAAAGAAAAATAAATTATCCTTCCAGTCAGTTCTTCTCTATTTTAAAATCATTCATTTTTTTTTCTCTTGCTTTGAGAAGTGTATGTTTGCTTGGTTTAAACAGTTTTGATGAGCGGTTGTTATTGAAAAATTCTTTTAGATGCAATTCATATCGAAGGAAAACATAAGGAAATGACGCTTCCCGCTCGTGCTTTTAAATTTGTTTTAATTTGTGGTGCGGGTGGTGGGACTTATTACAATGCCTTATTATGCAACATGAATAGTCTTACGAATCCACTTAAAATTTAGTGAAATCATATCATTCTAAACTTGTTTTTTGTTTAAATTGAACTTTCAATTCAAGTTTAGCATTTAGTATCGGAAACATTTCATACTAATGGAATGAACAGAATTTCCACTCTCTTACTACTTTTTGCTACATTTTACTCTTTTATCCTTCTTATTATAAAGGAGTCAAAATGTCCTCTTTAATTTCATTTCAATTAAGTAATGGTGTAATGAATGATGGAGGAATCTTCTTTATAGACGTCCTTTCTATTTTTAGCTTTTAAAAATGTAATCAAATTAAAAGAACTATCATGACGTTATAATTTTGTTATTTGATTTTTCAATCCTTTTCATTTTTTTTTTAATTACTTCACATACCATTCAATTAACTCGAATTTCGCTTATCAATTTTCGTGTGAAAAAAATTTCAAGTCAACATTAAAACTTTGTACCTCCAAAGAAAGTTTCCTCCTTCGTATTTCTGACGAATGTCTTTTCCTAAACAAAAATTTTCTACTATTCTCTTTCATTCATCTCCATTTATCATTATGATTGGTATAACTTTAAAATTTAATTGAGGATGTTTGATTGTTTACTTTACTGTTGTCAATTAATATTTTGGAGACAAGAATAAGATTTTGTTCTCCGTGGGTTGCCAGATCACTTCTTCCTACAAGTCACTTTTATCTTTCAGGGTAAGCATTTATGCAAAATGCGCCCTTTTTCTCTCAATTTATCTTTAGCCGATATCGTTCATTAAAAAATTTACATCATTACGTCAGATTTCTCCCATAATAGTTTCCTTTCGCTTCATTTTATCATTTAACTTGAAAATTCCATCTTAAATTTCAATCATTCACTAGTTCTCACTGTATGTGATAGATATCTAAACGAAATTATCTCCGTAAATACTTTTTTTTAGGTAACGAGAACTTTAATTAAGTATGGAAAACCTTTTTTTTTTCTTACATACTTCCTGATGACATGCAGAACAATCTCGAGAAAGCTTTTTATAATGAGAACATCAATAAAGTTTTAGTCTGTTGCAAAAATCGTCCCGTAACAGACCTGTAAACAGGTAAAAATCCTAAAGGAAAAGTTGGGATAACGAATTTGTAATTCCCTCGCCACCATCTGAAAAATGCTGTTGTTAAGAAAGTTTTTCGTAATTCAATAATTAGGAATAACTGTTAATATAAAGATGAATTGGAGGAGCCGAAGAATATAAAATCAATTACAAATTTTTTAAAAAAGTTTTGATGATTTTTTAAAAATAAAACATCCTTCTTTCCTAGGCCTTTTCCCATTCATTAGTTCGATTTCGTAATTTCGCATACAAATTACGGTTGATACAATGATTTCAAATATTTAGGCACTTCATTCTGGAACTATAAAGCTTGTCTCATAGAAAAATAAAAGAAAGGAGGGAAAATGAATTGGGAAACCGGCGAAAAAGGAACATTTTTGTAAATTGTATGCAGTATGAATGGGAAGTAAAACTAGTTTACCGCAATGGATACGTTTCTTGAACATTCCCAGGTGTAACACTTACGGACTATTTTGAATTACCGAAGCTTTCCGTTGCGATCAATTTTCTTCCATTGTTCTCTCTTATTTATCAACATTTACCCTTGTTGTAACGGATGGTCTGTTGACAAGTCGAAAAGCATATGTTTTCGAAAATAATGCAAGAATTTTACCCTCATTATCAATGAGCATTTTACGCTAATTAATGTAATTCAATTTAACATGCTCCATTAAAAAGACCCAATCTCGAAACATCTGAACTGATATGCTGGAGTTGTTCTGACTTCTTGATTCAGACAGTATATTTGAGGATATCGGAAGAAGCCCGTGAATTCATTTCAATTTTGAAAGGAAAGGAAGATTTTTCGATAGTGTTTCCTTCTTTTTTCTCTCTTCGGTATTGTGATTTTCCGATACTTTGAAAAAATCATTATTTTTGCTTATAATTTGTGGGAAACCCCTCTTTCTGTAAAAGAAATCCATGAAGAAGTGAGTGAAAATTAATGTTTTTTGATTTACTTTTGGCTTATTAAGTCACTGTGAACAAACCACCAATCCTACCTTCTTTTTTACATATTGAAATTTGCTTTTTGGGATAATTGTTTCTGAAGGGATTGGTGGACCCAGCCTGAGGAGCTTGTGGAAAAACTGAAGGTGTAAATCTGCTCTTTGTTTAACTTCACATTCCCATCTGGCTTGTTTTATTTCTGCATTTCGTCGTTTTTCTTTTTTTTTTCGAAAATTCCAACATTCGAACTAATGTTCAAAGACTAATGATCATTTTTATCCTTCTCAATAAATTTTCAAAAAAAACAATACCATCTGTTGCCCGCTCAAATCTAAGCTTGCCTATTGAGGTCATGGATTTCCCATAGTTGACCCAAAGCATTTCAATGGATGAATATCAATAGGTTGAAAATTTGGATAAATCAGAAGATCTTCCCTATTTCTGAAACAATTCTGAATTAGTCCATTAGATAAGAAGTTTACTTTCAAACTGACAGAAATATCAATATGTCAGGAGCGAAAAGGGCTGTGGACTTTTATTACGGTGTAATGGTTTGGAATTGCAACGGTCAATACGTATTGGTAATATTGTTCAGGATGAGTGACCTCTTTTTACTGTTTCAATAGGACAATGCCAGTGACATCTCTCTTGTATATATGTGCTTCTCACAGATGCACTTAATGCTATCTTCCTGTTCGTTGTACGGGGAAAGCGATGTTTATTACACTTCATTGTATTCTATCTCGTATTTCCGGTTAACTGTTTTTAAGATTAAAGAAGGAAAAGTCATTCGATTACATTTTACTTGACTAAAAGTTAGTCTTCTCTTTCCTCCATTTTTTAGTATAAAATGATAAAAAAGTGGCTCTGTCATTAGGCCCAATTTAGTACAAGATTAATTTTTCTTTTTTTTAAAATTGTCTTCCACAAAATTTTTTATATCTTTTCTAAAATATTCATTTTTATAAAGCAAAATCTTCATTTCTTCTTCTCTTCAGATTATTTAGCAGTAAATGTGTTAAAGTAGTTGAAAATTATTAACAGGAAAACTTAACTTGAAGAGATCAAAATTTCTGTTGGGACGATTCCGGTTAGATGAAGTTGTTACTTTTTAATCATTACCATACATGTTCTCAATCAAAAATTTTGTAGGAGAACTTTTTTTTGTTTCTTTTTTGCCATTTTTTCTCTTCATATTCTCACACTGTGTACAATTCTAAAAAGCAAATTGTTATAACTCTTCTCAACTTTCAATTCATCGTCATTTTAACTAGTTGCATTCTCATGATTTCTTGATCATTTGATAAATTTCAGCCGTTAAGCGATTCTGACCTCATCAGCTACGGCATCAGTCAACAAGTACCAGTGCTAAGAATTTTTGAAACTGACGATTTACCACTACATCGCGGAGATTTCACATCACAGCACGCAATTATGGTACGATCAAGGCAGTTGTCTGAAGTGTGTTTCCCTTTATTTTATTGAAATTACAATCAGTGAAAGTGTAACGAAAATAACTGAATAAGAAATGGAATGTTATGGGTGGTTATGAGCCAATTCACCAAATATAAACTGAAGCATGAAATGTTCAATGTGTCGATTTGATAAATGCTTGTGAATGCTACTGCTTAGCTCAGTTTCTTCTCTTTGGATTCTAAGAAAAAGAATTCGTTCACTTTTGCAACTCATAGCATACTTACGCGAAAGGATTCCTTTTGCTAGATACCAATTTCAAACCTTCCTTTTTATCTGACAAAAGAGTTGGAAATGCTGTTCAGTATCAATGGTGAGAATAATATCATTCATCGCATCCACAGTGATACATTGGGACTATATGCGTACTTTCTACAAAAGAGCGGTGTAGATTTCAGTTGACCTTGTATTTGAGTACAACATTGGGAAAGTCCCCTTCAACTTCCCTAATGAGATTTCAAATCTTATTTCATTACCCTTTTGATGTGTGAGAGAAGGTCCTGTTTCGTTCTTTTCGTTATAATATTTTTAACAATCCTTCTTTACTTTAAAGTGTACTCTTCCCTCTCCATTTATGGCTTAATTGATGAGAGGCGCAGTGGGAATAAGATGCTAAACTTCCATTAATTTAAGAAGCAGACCCCTATGGGCTAAGTTATTCTGACCTTTTATAATGTCTTGAATAATTTAAAATTAACTTGAATAATTTAAATTTGAATAATTTAAAATTAAGTTTTAATAAACCAATATAATTAATGTGTCTGTTAACGACACGGGACGTATTTAGCAGCTTTCTAATCTTGAAACTTTTGAATTTGTAGAAAGATGATGTGAGGATAGTGACATCATGTTAATAACAGATATAGAAACATAGAGTACTATTACAGCGCAGCTATATTTACACGGCAGTTCTTTGATAACAAAATAGAAGTACCTCTTGAAAACAATACCGTTTTCTCTAAGTCAGATAGGTAATTGTTCACAATCCTTCTTTTTACATTTACCGCGTTGAATGGTTAGTTAAAGCCAAAAACAAATAGTTCAGACAACTATATCTCACTTAGCTCACCTTGGCATACAGTGCTACAAGGTTAGCCCCTATGTTGAAATGATATATGATATGATATGATATAATTTTACTTCAGATCACCCATATGTTATACTTTTGATTTTATTGCAGACTTTCCACTGACCACTCCTGCCCGATGATATTATTTAAGTTTGCTTTCAAATCATCTTTATCCAGACACCATCTTAACCATCCATTTTTGATTTAATTAGTGTGATTAAATTCTGCCTTGGCTGTTTATAACTAATATAAACTGTCGTCCCTCTTTCTCTCTCTTTCTCTCTCTCTCTGTCTCTACCTACCCTGTCTACTCATCCTATCCCATCTATCTATCTACCTATCTTTTCTACCTATCTATCTATCTATATAATTTGTCTATCTATATACTCTATGTGTATCTGATCTATTTCCCTAATCTATTTATCCATCTTTCTTTCCAATCCATGACAAAGGGCCAGAAATTATCCTCTTCATTGCGAACTTGATGACCAAAGAATAGATATAGGAAATAAGTAAGATGGTCTTTTAGCACTCCCATATCCTCGTTCCTTATACTGTCATTATCTCCATATTTCCCAAACAACCTAATAGCACTAAAGTTTTCTTCTTGGTTTTAGTTTTCAATCACTCTATCCCAAGTTTAATATGGCAAAAGGAAACGAAGTCTGTTGAGCTTTCTTGAGAACTCCTTTGGAGTGAACAGAATTCTCGAGTTTGTTTTACAACAAAGACGTCTCTTTACATCGTCTAAAGTCCAAAATATTCCGCTTGTTAACTCTAAAAGATACAGCAAACATTCTCGTCAATGAAATGAAAAATTTATCGTCCCGAGAATTCAACGACTGACAGTCAAAAGTATTTTGGAGTGCCTGGATAGGGAATTTTCGTTTCAAATTTCATGCTCATGCGAGAAAGAACATAGTCGCCTACCAAGCAGACATAGAAAGCATGCTAAGTTGTACAAACCGGAAAAAAAAATGATTTCACCTGGAGGACATATTCCGGCGTCACCAATGATAATATCATATATATCTGATTTTCGAGTTACCAAATTCATCAAATTCGATACTGCTGAAAAAGTCACATATTGTCGTGAAAGAAATATTATGAGAGTGAAAAGATGAGGATTACTGCTTTTTGTTAGTAACAAAGCAGTTATTTCTTTATAAAAAAGTAACTTACTGAATACCGATTGGTGATGTGTTCGAGGAATATAATAGTTATCCTTTATTGTTGTTCAATAACAAATACAATAATAACAGGTTAGAAGTAATTTCGGTTGTAGTATAATAAGGTCCAATAACGTAGAATAACGGGAGAAGTGTAGAAGCAGCAATACGTTAACGGAGAAGAAATAAATGAAGATCGTGTTGAGTAGAGTAGAGTAGCGACGTGGAGAAAATTTTACATTAACATTCTTAGGGATTCTTAGGGTTTATATAGGCTGTGTGAAGAGGAACAATCATTGGATACTGACAGTATTCTCACAGGTGCAAGAGAAATTTACATATAGGAACAGTTTTCTTTAAAAAAATTGCATAGAAATTAGTTTATCTGATGTACAGCTTTCTCACCATTGTATAAAAGATTTTGTATGGG